ACAAATCTGAGCCATTATGGCATGCAGTATTCCATTCCTGTCCATTATGTGCCAATTATAAACCTTTTTTCCACACTTAGATAAATGGACTGATAGATGAAGAATGCAGTTTACCCTAATTCCCATATTGCATGTTATTTCTTCACAAAGACACTCTTCTTCTAATACCTCCCAGCGGCTAATAAGATCCCACAGATTGGGCCTCCTTCAGATGCCGTCAGCCAGACAGTGTCACCTGGCGGGCCCCCCCGGAGGAGAGCCTTCTCTGTGGCTGCTCCGACACTTTGGAATCAGCTACCCCCAGAGATTCGGACCATACCCACTCTCATGGCCTTCAGGAAAGCTGTAAAAACTTGGCTGTTCCAGCAGGCCTGGGGCTGTTGACCTCACTGTTGACCTCACCCGATTAGAATGAATGTATGAGGTGTTGCTATTTTAAACCGTTTTCTTTTGTTATGTGTTCGTTATGTGTATTTTTTTTCTCTTTATTTTTGTAAGCCGCCCGGAGTCCTTCGGGATTGGGCGGCATATAAATGTGGTTAATTAAAATTAAATTAAATTAATTAATACAACTTTTTCTAATTTACTTTTAAATGTACGGTAATTTTCTTAACTCTATCCTGTTTATGTAAACAGTCATGAGATAGATATTGACATAGTTGGCATCTCAATAATGTGGAAAACTTAGTTCTGGTAGAGAACCAATATAATGAATCATAGGGGGTAAGGGAAACTAATAAATCACGGGACTACAAAAATCATGATTAAAAAGTTTGCTCTGGATGGCTTTGGCTTCTCAACTCAAACTACTTCACAAGGTTGCTGTTGTTATGAAGAAAAATTGGGAAGAAAATGCTTTTTATGAATCTAGCATATTAATAGATAAAGAAAATCACACACATTTTCTTGATAAGAAATACCCTTACTGTAATAATAAGTACTTACAGAGATACTTGCGTATTGATCTGTGACTGTCATATTTCCCTCAAACACAGAAAGTGTAGATGATACTAAAATTGTGAGTTACCACTGGGAAGAAATTGAGGGTCCCTTGCGGGAAAAGAAGGCATCAGCTGATACACCTGTTTTATACCTCTCTAATCTTATTCCTGGCAATTACACTTTCAGGTGGGTGATTCTCATTATTGCTTTCTCAACAAAATACAGACTAAGCCAAGGAATCCCTATTTCTGCATTTAGAGAAACTTCTCAATTTTTTTATATTTAGGGCTAGATCCAGATTGGTCTTACATAAATGAAAGAGTTCCTTCTATTCATGAAAAGCAAAAGGATTGAATAGAACAGTGTTTCTCAATCTTGGCAACTTGAAGCTGTCTGGACTTCAACTCCCAGAATTCCCCAGCCAGCTCGCTGGGGAATTCTGGGAGTTGAAATCCGGACATCTTCAAGTTGCCAAGATTGAGAAACACTGGAATAGAACCATAATGATGAACCTGTGGTATGCGTGCTGGAAGTGGCACACAGAGCCATCTCTCCGGGCATGCGAGCCACCACTTTTCTGTGCACATCGGCCAGCTAGTCTTCACATGCGTGGGAACGCCGAAAACCAGAAGAGCAGCTGCCAGTTGCGCATATGCATGCTGGGAAGATGATTTTTTTGGTGTGCATGCTGGTCTTCATGTGTACATGCATGCCTGAAACCAGAAGACCAGGTGGCCGGTGCTCAGGTATGTGCTGGAAACCAGAAGATCATCTTCCCAGCGCGTGCATGTACACCAGGCACTCTTCTAGTTTCCTGCATGCATGCACGCATGTGCACGCTCCTGTTTTGGCACTCGGTGCTGAAAAGGTTCGGCAACACTGGAATAGAAAATAATTAATGGAGAAATGTTTGATTTTTCATTCTCCTCTCAGGCTGCTCTAGAAGAAATTCTTCAGAATAAACAGATTGAGTAAGGGAGATCACCTCCTTAGCCTTGTTCAATTTTTGTATATGGTAGTTTGAATCTTGGGCTTTATAGCTTCAGAGACAGGTTGAGAGAACTATCATTTGTCTTTTCTGAAATGTGTCTGTGATCTTACCATAAAGTAAACACAAAAACATGATTTCTTAGGTGGCGCAGTGGTTAGGGTGCAGTACTGCAGGCNAATATGCTGACTCTCTGTAAACCGCTTAGAGAGGCCTGAAAGGCCTATGAAGCGGTATATAAGTCTACTGCTATTGCTATTGCTATTCTAAATATGGTTTTGCCAGACCCACCTATGCTTTCTTAAACTGTTTTCTTCCTAAATCATTTGCTGACTATTAGGGGTAATATTCCTGGTCTAGAGCAATCTTCTCCATCAATACCGATTGGGAATTGTGACAGCCTCCACACTTCTGGAAACAATTGGGCAAGCAAGATTGTGCTAGGCATATCCGCATTCTGGATTTGATATGAGTAGACTCACCCTTCTTGGAGTGATTTTAACTATGCCTTTAAGATGCCCTACATCTATTTCAAATTAATGCACCCATACCAACACACTGTTTCTCTACCAGCTGCCAGAAGGTGCCTATGTCTTCAGAGTGACTGTTTCTGCTGAAAATGCATTTGGAGAAGGATTTGTAAATGTTTCTGTCCAACCAGGTAAACCTGATTTCCAGACCGTTCAATTAATTTCTTCTTTGGTGGATCTGAATTAAGTTCAGTGTTGATACTTTATTATTCCCAAATGTTATCAAATGAGGAATAACAGTGAAAAGTTCCCATCCCATCCCTTTCATTGTTTCTTTTTAAGGTAGAAGAAGATTTTCTTGTGAATTCATCTTTGTAATTTGTTATTATAAAATGGAAGGCAACTCTAAAGAAATTTTGTCTGCTATAAACTTTTTTCTTTTGCTCTATAGTTCTTCCTAATTTTGAACCTAAAGGAGGAAAAAAATCAAGTTGCCAAGCACACTATTTATTTCTAGCTGAATTTAAATACAGCTAGTCCTCAACTTATAACCACAACCGAGCCAAAAAGCAGGATATTGAAGCAGAATGATTGATTGAACTGCTGTTTACTATTAAGATAATCAAACATCTCAAATTCCCAACATGATACAATTTTCTTAATTTGGACACAAGATGTAGAGGTTTTTTTTTCTTATAGTAATTTGCAGTACTCTTTTTTAAAAATGTGATACTGGTAAAAATCTATATTTTATTTCTTGTGTTAAGAATTTAATACTTTCAATGGTCAGGAGGTGGTTTCTGGTTGTTTAATAAGCATGGGTTTGGAATGTGTACATTGGATTTATTTGACGTATTTTGGTTCTTATCTTTATCCAGCAATCCGAATAAATCAACCCCCTGTTGCTATTGTCTCTCCCAAAGTACAGGAGATTTCTTATCCTATTACTTCTACCTTCATTGATGGAAATCGTAAGTACCAAGTTGCAATCATTGCTTTGCATGATAATTTAGGAATAGAATAGAATAGAATAGAATAGAATAGAATAGAATAGAATAGAATAGAATAGTATAGTATAGTATAGTATAGTATAGTATAGTATAGTATAGTATAGTATAGTATAGTATAGTATAGTATAG